TTGTATTTTTTGTAGAGATTGGGGTCTCACCATGTTGCCCAGGCTGGTCTTGAACTCCTGAGCTCAACCACTCTGCCTGTCCGAGCTTCACAAAGTGCTAGAATTACAGGTTTCTGTCACTACGCCCAGGCTAGAAATGGATTTTTATAATGCCTTTTGATGTTTATATAACAATGAATTTTTTTTTCGCCTTATTTCATTGTACTGCTTCTAATCATTCTCTCCTACTTTAAATCCCATAGTATTGTATTTTTAAAAATCGCTAAACTCTTCTTTTTCTTTTTTTCTTTTTACTTTTTAAAATTATTTTCAAAAGTAAGATTGGTTTGTAAATTTTGGGAGGGATATTTTTGTCAGGTATCTCTGTTAGTTGTCATTGGAAAGTTTCCATTTTTCTTTGCTTTCTGAGATAAGTTGCATTGGAAATACATTTTTTAAAATTTTAATAGAATTCATTTGTGAAACTATCAGCATCTAATGGTTAAACGCGTCTTTACAGGCTGTTCTGTAGAAATGATTGGTTTAGGTTTATCTCTTCTGACTTTAGTTTAGTACTTTGGTAGTTTTTTCAAAAGTTATCTTTTTAATCTAGATTATCAGCTACATTTGCATTGGGAGGCAAATTTTATCTTCATCCGATGCTATTTTCCCCCTTTCATATTTTGTGGATTTGTACCTGTAGCTCCACTTTACCTTTTTTGACCACTACCTCCTTGCTCAAGTAGGCATCCTGTAGAGCACGTTTAAACATGGTGTTCCTTAACATTTTATAAATGGCTATACAGTTGACTTTTTAAAATATATTTTAATGAAATTTTAAAGTACATGCGTAACTCTTGAAGCACTGCCATAGCATACTTTAGAGAAGTATTTATATTATTTGTACTGTTTTATTTATTTATTTATTTATTTATTTATTTATTTATTTATTTTTGAGATGGAGTCTTGCTCTGTCGCCTAGGCTGGAGTGCAGTGGCCTGATCTCAGCTCACTGCAAGCTCCGCCTCCCGGGTTTAGGCCCTTCTCCTGCCTCAGCCTCCGGAGTAGCTGGGACTACAGGCGCTTGCCACCACGCCCAGCTAGTTTTTTTTTTGTAATTTTTAGTAGAGATGGGGTTTCACCGTCTTAGCCAGGATGGTCTCGATCTCCTGACCTCGTGATCCGCCTGTCTGACCTCCCAAAGTGCTGGGATTACAGGCTTGAGCCACCGCGCCCGGCCTGTTTTTACTGTTAAAAAGCAGTACAAAGCAGATTAATACAATACAATACAGTTCAGAAATAGACCTAAGTTTATACAGTCATGTGCCACTTAAGAGGGATATGACCTGAAAAATGTGTTGTTAGACAATTTCATTGTGCACACATCACAGAGTGTATTTGCACAATCTAAAATGATATAACCTACTACACACCTACACTATATGGTATAGCCTGTTGGTCTTAGGCTACGAAACTGTGGCATTGTGTTAACTATACTGAATACTGAGGCAGTTGTAACACAATGGTAAGTATTTGTGTAGGTAAATATATCTAAACATAGAAAAGATACGGTAAAAATAGCGTATAAAAGATAAAACATAGTATACCTGTACGGGGTACTTACCATGAATGGCGTTTGCAGGACTAGAAATTGCTGTGGGTGAGCTAGTGAGTGAATGTAAAGGCCTAGGACATTACTATCCTATTTTATAAACTTGTACCTTAGACCTTATAAACACTGCACAGTTAGGCTATACTAAGTTTATAGAAACATTTTATCTTTCTTTAATAATAAATTAACCTTAGTTTGCTATAACCTTTACTTTTAAACTTTACGATTTTTAGACTTTTTGACTCTTGTAACACTACTTAGCATAAAACACAGACACGCTGCACGGCTGTACAAAAATATTTTCTTTCTTTATATCCTTATTCAATAAGCTTTTGTCTATTTTTAACTTTTTTTTAATGTTTTACTTTTTAAAGTTTTTAATTAAAAACTAAGACACAAGCACATACATTAGCCTGTGCCTAAACAGGGTCAGAATCATCAGTATCACTGTTTTCTACCTTTACGTCTTGTTCCACTGGAAAGTTTTGAGGGACAGTAACACACACACAGTTGTCATAGGCAATGTGTGTATCATAGGCAATGGCCTACGATAACAATTCCTTCCTCTGAAATACCTCCTGAGGAAGCCGCCTGAGACTGTTTTATAATTAATTAAAAAAAAAAAAAATGAGTACACTGTAAAATAATGATAGAGTATAGTATAGTAAATACATAAACTAGTAACAGTCATTTGCCGTCCATATTCAAGTATTATGCTGTACATAATTGTGCGTGCCATACTTTTATATGACTGGACTGGCAGCACAATCAGTTTGTTTACACCAGTATCACCGTGTGAACAAGGTATTATGATAGTTACAAGGTCACTAAGCAATAGGAATTTTTCAGGTTTATTAAAATCTTAGGGGACCACTGTCGTATATAGTCATTGTTGACCAAAACATTGTTCTGCGGTGCCTGACTTTATGAGGATTTTAATGGATCACAAAGGAGATGTTTTAAGTCAAGGAATAAAACAAGTTATTCAGTAAATGATGTTGGGACAATTGACTAGCTATTTGGAAAAAAGAGAGCATTATGTCTTTTTAAAATATTCAAATACATATAAATTGGGTGAATTTTTTTTTCTTTTTTTAATACATAAAACATTTAATACATGCTACAAAATTCTTTTTTAAAAAATAGTGAAAACCTAGGGATTTTTTTTTTTTAAATAATATTGAGAGGGCTTTTTAGGGTATGGCACGATATTCATAAAGGAAAACATTGGTAAATTTCAGTACCTGAAAAATTTTAAACTTGTTTATGACAAAAACGAACAACAACAACGCCTTTCTGTCCAATAAAAAGTGCATCATAAAATCAAAGTCCAATTGGGGAAAATATTTTGCCCAAAATATCACCAGATTTCATTCAATTAGAAAAATGCAAGCAGCACAGATTGTGAAAAAAGTCAAGAAACATTTAGCTTCTAATAGAAAGTCACACAAGATGCACAAATACACAAGATTGTTCATATCTGTAGAAATTGCTTTAGTTACGCTAAATATATACTGTATATGGCCATTCAAGAAAAGTGACAGATTTATTGGTATGGACATTGAGAGATATTTATAAAAAGAATTGGGTTAATAATTTAACCATGAAGTTATAAACTAGTATGTTTCCATATACATATCATACATATTTGTATACAGAAGTTTTTAGTATGTGTATAGAAAAATATATGTAGGATTTGACTCCGAATTCCTCACAGAATAGTGATTATCTTTTAGGGCTAGGGATAATCATGAACTGTGCTTTTTTACATTATGTGGCCTGAAATTTTGAATCTTTGTAAAAAATAAAATGGGTGGTTTGCAGAAGGAATTGTTTAAACTTTAAAAATTTTATGTTGCACTTACCTGAAATATTGGTTTCTTGAACTTTTCTAATATAAAAACATAGTTTTATCAAAATGAAAGTATAATTATGGAGTATGTTTCTTATAACATCAGAAGTTCTTAGTTTTCCTGAGTAAATTTACGTCTTCAGAAAGCAAAAACTCAGTTCTTTCAAAAATGTACACAGCCTGATTCTCAAGTTTGTAATGGAGCAATGTTAATAAAAACTTTGAAAATCCTCTTGTAATTAAAGTTGAAACTTTAGAAAGTTTTAGGCTCATCTTATAGATTTGAGGAGCTTTGTGCTGAATATAGAGATGTGTAAAGTTAGATCATCGGAAATTTTTGTCAATAACTTATTTTTTTAAATGTCAGTAACTCTGTGCTTTTTAGGTGAATTTTTTTAGCTGAATGTAAGGATGAGTTTTATGAGTAGGTATTTTGCATTAAACAGTTGGAATTCCTTATAGTAATATGAAACATTTTTATGTAATAGTGATAGCTTCAAAAAATTGCAACTTATCCTGGAATTGAAATATATGTAAGTACTTTTTTAAAAAATTCTAGTTGTATGACATTGTGACAAAAATACTCCTGAGCAGCATTTTAATAGGCATGAAATCTTTTAAATTTATCATAAATCTATATGTGTAGATTTAAAATTTATACCTGGGGATTTTAATACCACACAACTTATGTCAAATATCATTGAATATGTCATTGCTTCTACATTTCACATTATGCTGTACTTTGAGATTGTATTATAAATCTCATGTGAGTATAAGTTATTTGCAGTATGTTGCTAACAGTGGATTTACCTTAGTTCATATTACTCTAATTTGAATGCAGTTTCCAAACCAGCCACTTGGTATAGCAAGTACTTAGACATGACTGTTTTGTAAGTTCATGTTTTATATTCAGTTATGAAAGCTTAGTAGGAAAAACTTTTTCAATGGAAAAGTTCAGAGGGTTTTTTTTTCCTTTCATGGAGACACTTACATTTCATATTAGTTTTACAATAAACATTTCATGGTAGTTGGTCATTTGATATAATTTGAAAATAATGTACACATGCAAAATATTTATTAAAGATTAATAATTACTATATACCATTTGTAAATGAACAGTAATTAAAATGAAATAATATATATTTAGCATATTGATCCCAATTTAGACATTGATACAGACACTAAAACTAGGATCTTGAAGTACCTTGGGATTGTCATCTTAAATAGCAATCGTCATTGTGTTATAAACATGTAGACATATTTCTTTTAGTCAAATATTGGCCAGTAGTGAAATAGCTCTATTTTATTATGAGGAATTATCGTTATTTTCTTTTTAAAGGGATTTGCAATTACTAGTCTGATTGTTGGAGTAAATAACCATAAAAAGTAAAGTGTAAATTGTAATAGTAAATTGAATAGTAAATAAAAAGCAAACAGGTAGATAGCCATCTTCAGTTGTCTTTAACTATTTTAATTTTAATGTTAGGCACTATGAAATTTATTTTTTTCTTCAGAAATTTTTAATGTCTTATATTCCAATATTTTTAATCGTTTTAGGCTGCAGTTCATGGAGCTCGTTTCAAAGGGCAAGATCTAAAACTGGCATGGAATAAACCAGTAACTAATATTTCAGCTGTTGAAACAGAAGAAGTTGAGCCTGATGAAGAAGAAGTATGTTATTTTTTTTTCCCACTTATTTTTACCCTTAATCGTTCGTAGCTTTTATATAAAATGTGATTTTTGTGGCTGTGATTTTAACATAAAACTTTTATTCCTGACCCATAGTCCAGGCAGGGGATATCAGATAAATGCAAACAACTTTAAATTTTCTGGATAATGAGAAGAACTGTGGATTGCTAATTCAAAAAGAATATATGAAAATCATATATATACTCCATTTTTATTTACCCTTAGAGACAATAATTATTCATTAGCTTTTTATCCACAGGAAATCTTGTAATATCTTAAGTTTTAGGGTAATCTATTCTCAGTTGCTTTGTTAACATTTCAACTTTCCTTTATTTTAATTCATATATCATTTTAGTCATTAGAATGAATGCCTGTTATATGGTAGATACTGTCATAGGCACAAAAATGAATAAGACACGGTCCCTATCTATCATCAAGGAGCTTATAATCTGAAAAGGGGGGTGGTGGCAGACACATAAGAAACTAGTTACAATAAAAGTCAGACTGTTAACGCTGAATAAAGATTTGAACAACATGCTCTGGAAACTCAGAGGAAGGAGTGATTGTTTCCATCCCGGAAAATTTTAAAGGAGGTATTGACAGTGGAACTGAGCCCTGAGCAATAAAATAGCTTTCATAATCTAGAACTGGAGCTGGGAATATAATTGAGAGGTATTTTAGATGAAGGGATAAGCATCAGGAAAAATGGAAGTGTGCATTTTTCTTTGAGTTACAACAATTAGTCTGATGGCTAAGAGGTATGGGCCAGTGAAGTGGTAGAACCCCTTGAAAGCAAAAACTTAAAAGTAAACAACTCTTATTTAATCACCAAATAAACTTTAGGAGAAAGTTTAACTTAAGAAATAAAGGTAAGGTGGGGAAACTAAATGATTCCATGTTTTACCTTCATAGTGGCACTTCATTTTGTTTGAAGAGCATTTCAAGGCTGTTATACATATCCATAGTCAAATGCAAGAATAAAAATGTATATTTTGAAACTCATATACATGATTTGTCATTTTATATTTTAGATTATACCTTTGTCCTTCCATGAGTTTGAATTGAATGGGGAGAAAAGCAGGAGAGCTCCTGGTATTAGGTATTTTGAAAAGTTTGAAATAGCAGTCTGAGAAGTGTTTATGAAGGGAATGGGGAAAAGAAAGGAATGCAATAATAGAAAATGTTTGTTGCATACAGCAGAAAATAAATATAAATATAAATCCTGGTAGAATTTTATACAAGTCATTGGTTGATTTTAGTATTCAAGGTTAGGAGGGTAAATTAGAGAAAACTTACTGTTTTCTTTTTTAAAAAAGTTTGACCAATATTTTAAAGTTACAGAAGATGGCGTAATTTGCTAAAGAGAGGCAGGAAAAAATGGCATGTACAAAGGCTTAATTTGATAATTTGTTTAGTGTGTTTCATGCAAGCAATAGAATAGATCATATAGAGAAACCATCGAGTGGTTAAATGTCGCTTTTCCTTGTTTTGTGAATGTTCTAGCTATAAAAATGCCTTTTGTATTCAACTCTGTTGAGAGAGATCAGTATTTAAAAGTGTCACCTTTTTTTTCTTTTCTTTTTTTTTTGGGTAAATTCCTAAATACATTTTAACCTAAAGTTTCAGGAAGAGTCTTTGGTGGATGACTCATTACTTCAAGATGATGATGAAGAAGAAGAGGACAATGAATCTCGTTCTTGGAGAAGATGATTTGACTGATCATTGATCTACATATGCTAGAACTCTACCTGTGTTTCATTAGTATTATCTAATGTACTTTTACATATTTGTAAAAACAATTTTTGGTAAAATGTGATGAAGATGGATTTCACAAATAGACAAAAAAGAAGAAAACTACCTTCTGATCTTGTATTTTGAAAGATTGATGTTTGCATTTTATTTCAGTAAACAATTGCTAAAGACATCACACTAGAAACATATGCAATGTTTTTATTACATACTTCTACTGGACATTACAGAATTCTTTGGGTTCTTTGTAATTTAATGAATAGGTCTGAAAACTTATGACCAATACTTGTTATAACTTAGAGGATTTTGTTTTATTCCAAATAAGGAATGAATTTGCATTTAAAATCTTAATGAATGTTTTCAAAACTGAATAGATAACATAGTACTCTAACTAAAGTCTCCAAGTCATGTATTATAATATTACATAGTAGTATGCTTAGGCTTTACTATGTATTAGCCTTTTGTTGGACTGTGTATGTATTTTACCATATGGGTTTTAATGATAATGGTGTATGACTGCTTTACATGAGTCCTTATGCATCCGGATGTTATAATAAAGTGGAATGGTCTCTTAAAAAAAAAAAAAAGAAAAGAAAAAAGCAATGACAAAAAAAAAAAAAAAAAAAAAGCCAAGACAATGTTCCTTGATTTAAAAAAAGAAAAGAAAAGAAAAGAAAAAACAAAAGAAAAAACTTAAAATAGACCATTCCAGATGGTGATCTACCCTTCCCCCCAATTATCACAAAAGGAGCTATAATCACTAATTTATTCTTAATAATAATGGTTACTGGTACCCTTACAATAATGTACAATCCAATGTTTAAAAATTATACCACTTGAGTTTGGTTTGATCCTATAAATTTTCAACAAATGTCTTAAAATTTAAAAGCAGGCTGATTAGTTTGGAACCAGACTACAAGTAGAGCTAACATTTGGTGAATAAGAAAACATCACATTACATTTTGGATGTATGAAAGAAAACTTGACCATTTGAAGATAAATGAATAAAGAAATGTACTATAGATACTACTTTAGGAAAACACTGTTTGGTAAGTGTTCCAGTCTGATATTTTAAGTGTGTACTTCCTATACTTGTATAAAAATCTTTGACGTTTGCAACAATACTGTGATTTTTTTAAGTGGATTTCTTTTGCAAGTGAACATGATCATTGCAAGTTGATACAGCAGTTTCCAGGAAATGAATGCATTCTTTGTAGAATGGGGGTGGGAGATTACATACTTATATTTTAAAATTCATTTCGGTTGCAAGTGTTTCTGCCTCTCTTAAGATGATAGTGATAATATTAAAAAAATCACATTTAAAAAATTACTTTCTTCCATATTGGGGTCCTCACAATCAAAAGCTGTTGTTCCACCACCACCATAGTCTTCTGCCAGTGGAGTAACTTAAGGATGCTGTTCTTTTGCTTCTTCCCCATACCCCACTAATTGGGGTTGAAGTTGTGTGTATTTTCTTGATGGTAACACTATTTCATAGAAATGCTTTGCCTTGCAATTCGTGTATACGTTTATATTTAAAATTTCAAAATCAGATTTCAGTTGTCAAAATAGTGACTTTGCTGAAAAAGTCACTATTTTTACTTATATATTTAAATCAAAGATCTATTTTTATGTAGTCTCTTGTATGTTGACTATGTGCTATTCTGATTCATTAGGTAAGTTTGTTTTCTTTTCTTTTTAGTAGTCGTGAAAGGTGCCAAATTGGCAGAGGCTCACGTTTCTTCTCTTTACACCAAACAGGTATTATAAAGAAAGTAAATCTTTCAAAGGCCAGTTAAATCTCCATGCTGATTTTTGGCTTTATAATTTGATTAGTATGTTTTAGCCTGATACTTCAAAAATTTAAAAATTCCCTTATAATGTAACTGAAAATACATATTCTGTTTATTTCAGTCCATGAATAGCTAATCTGTTTTCCTAGCCTAAAATTTCCAAGTAACCTAGAACTTAAAATATTTTAAGCCATGTTGCTTTTAATGAATCAGAAGACAAATATGTTTCAGTGTGGTCCCAAAGAATGGAGATTAAATCTTACGAACATTAATTAGGTTTACAGTTATATTATCATAGTATTAATATGATTTTAATTATAAATATTACTTAGTATTAAGTTGCTACTGAATATTTTACTTGTTTATAAATACTAGTACTCTACATGTACTTTCATATGTTCTTATTTAAAACTTAGGAAGGAATTGTTAATTTCCATTTTATAGATAAGGAAACTTAGGCTAATAGAGATGGAATGATTTGCCCAGTCATAGCTAGTGGATGAAAATAGATTTGAATTCAAGTATTCTGATTTCAGTGCCAACTTTTTTTTTTTTTTTTTTAAACTCTATGTTGTTGCTGCTTTCCTAATTATTGATGGAGTGGAACATGAGATTGTGTTTATAGTAAATATGGTAGTTCTTGCCTCAAAGGTACTGCACAAAAGTAGTAGACATTCTACTTGGTCATTCGCCAGTTCATACTTATACCCTCCCTTTTAATACAGCACTTTGTTCATATCTCTGTTACAGTACTTACATTGTAATATAATTTATCTGGTTTATGTCTGTCTTCCCCACTAGATTACAAGCTCCTCTAGGAAGGTGGACCATGTCTTATTCATCATTTTATCTCTAGTGCTTATCACAAAGCCAGGCTTATAGTGGGCACTCAAATGTTTGTTGGATGAATTAATGAATGAATGAATGCATATTTAAATATCCAATCATAGAGTGACAGATACCTCCCTTGTTAATTCTTATCAATTTTCCAAAAATCTCTTGAAGATATCCTCAGTCACTGGGAGCATTTTGCTAAGCAGTTGATACAGTTCAAGTTTGTCACTGGTGGGGTAACAAGTACTGATGGAGGTATACACATATGTAGACTTAGTGGAGTTTCCAGAACATTTAGTAAGGCATTAATATTTTGGGGTAATAAATGTTGTAGTCTGTTTCAGAGGTAAAATACACTTTTCGTTTCTGTCAGTGTATGATTAGAAATGCTAAGAGTCACCAGTCTAGTCCATCCCACTAATTTTTATATCCAAAGGTGACCTAGTTTAGAATACTAGACAAGGTTTATAAGAGATTTAGCTTTTGGTCCCAGTTCTGCAACTTAACTCTGTGGCCTTAGGCAAGTCTCTTGCCTTATCCAGGGTGGTTTCCTTGTCTGTAAAGTAAAAAGAGTTGGACTAGATGATCTCTAAGGTCCCTTTTACATCTGTAGTTTCCCTGGTACTATATTAGTGTTTGATACAAAACAATTTAATATAAGCCATTTCTCCCTGTTGTCGTTGTTGTTTTCTATCATTTTATCATTGGAAACAACTTGGATTTGGTTATGATAATTTATATGATGCCTCTTGGTACAATTTTGTGTATAGTGTTCCTACATGCTTGCATTTGCCAGCACAAATCACTTTCAGCCTATAAAATAGAGATGAACTTCTGTATTCACTAGCACTTCCTTTTCCCAATTGTAACTTTTCATTTTCTGTCTAAATTCAGAGTTTTAAAGTAGAAGTACTTGCTAGTAATGCAGATACAGTCAGTTCTCTCACCAGTATGGATTTAAATTCTCCTTTCCATCTCAGTTTATTCTTTAAAAAAAAAAAAAAAAAAAAATATATATATATATATATGCTACCTAAAACTAGAAACACATTTTTAATTCTGCAGCTCTCCTAACGGATTATTTTGCTTTAGTACAGACCTGGGCTGCAGGCTGAGTTGGGAGTTGGAAAAGGATTGAGGACAGCAATGTAGGTCGCCTCTTCCTACAGGAAAAAATTGAGGAACATTGTGTATTACTGGTTAAAAGATTGATTAGGATTATTTCAAGGGATGGTTGAGTTGTCGTTTTACATATTTCACGCAATATTTTGTGTCTCTACTTAAGCATTGTTGTTTTAAATGTTACTGGATAATTGTAACATATCAAATTAAATTTTATATTTAACTGATACCCAAGCATTCGATGAAAACATGTTGCAGGAATGGGAGAATATTCCATAGCTTTTGTTTTATTGTGATTTGATTAAGTAAGACAACTAATAGTTTAAAGACAGGACTTCACTGTTTTAGCTGATTTCCTGTAGAAAGTGTGGCTAAGTTTAATGGAAAGAAATGTCTTCTTACTAGAACTGATTTTGGGGGACTCTATCCACTCTTACTTGGAACACTAACCGTTGCCTATAAGGGTTCAAAAAGGAAGCAACAGTTGCTTATTTGGTATGTTGAAATATCACTGGCTATTTTAGAGTATGAAGCAAACTTTATCAATGTTTTCTCTCTTTTCCCCCTTACAATGTAGACTAATGATAGAAAACTAGTTTTAGTTCTTCTAGAATTTATATAAATTTTGTAAGCTCCACCCAACACACACACACACAGACACACACACCCCGCCCCGCTTACAAAAGTCTGTATTAGCCTTTTAAAACAAAAATTTCCTGCGTGAAATTCTGGCTTAGTTAACTTTTTGGTCTTTCTCTCGGGGCTTTTGTAGTTCTTATAAAATACTATAAATTACAAATGAAAATTTAATGCATAATTAAATTACTAGTGTACAATATTTGTAAGACAAGAAGAAAATTTCCTTTTCCCAGATTTCAGGAACTACCTTGTTCCTGTTAACTTCTTGAACTGGCTAGTTGCTCAAAGGTATGTATACAGGACTTTAGAGAAGAGCAGTTTTTAAATTTTTCCTTTCTGATCATTATATACCTATCAGATGACAACAGATAATCTTCCAAAGTTGCTACCTAAAAATCCTAGGAAAGAAACTGGTAAACATGACTGCCATTCCCAATAATTGCTAATGAAAAACATCAAACTTGCTTAGTAGAAAAACACCTAACTTTCTTGCCGTTTATCCATATTATGTGCTTGTTACTTAATGTAATTAAAAACATTTTAAAATTCTACTTTTTTTGTATCTACTTTTTATACTTGCTACTTCCTAAATTCCTAAATTCCTCCCTCACTGTTTATTTCATCCATCTACTCATTTTCCCATCATCCAAAGTAAGCCTCTCCTTATATACCAGGCACTGTCTGATTTCCATGTATTCCTTTTATTTTTACTGTGGGCCTTTGTGCTTAGTATAGTTTTACTTCATATAATGTGATTAACAAATGAAGTGATTATCATATGGAGTTTAAGGAAATTAGATGTATCTTGCAATTACTTTGACATCTTTGAGAAACCTTAAGAAAATTGTTTCTGTTTTCATTTTTATTTACAAAGTCTTGGAATTTGTTCATGATTTCTTAAAATTTCTTTGCCTACCCACATCTCTGTGAAAATTTTCCATGTCAGTTACTAGTTTTTCTAATGAAAATTTTAGACCATAGATATGTTTTATGCTGTGATCTTTTGCAGCCTAATGTTTGAAGGAAGCATGATGCAGAGAGGTTTTGTTAAAATCATTTTAGCCCAAAGCTTTGTGTAATTTTCCTGCAACTTTGATTTTGATTTCTTTCTCAAATAGATTTTTTTAATGTTTAGAAAAGTTGGAGGTCAATTTATGATGTGATTCAAGTTTTAGATTTATTTGCTATTTTCAAAGTTTTTTTTAATAGTCTTCTCTTTTTCCAGCAGAGAGAGATCATCATTGCCTGAATTCCCTTAGCTTTGTGACTGCAAGAGCAAGACCAGTTCCTGTCTGGAGACGACTGTTACAATAATATCATCCTATTATTTTATGTTCACTCTTTATCAATTTGAACAGATGTTTACATGTACTATAATTAGCATTTTATCTCTACAGTTCTCTAAGAGTACATCTGAGTTCAAAGTGTATCTGAATGTGTGCTCTGACCTTATTCTTAAATGTTTTCTCCCTGTACTTTATAGCCATTTATTTTTTAAACACCTTAAGAAGGAATGAAAAAGTTCTCTTGGATGACGTATATTCAGTCTGAGCCAAATTGAGGATTGTGTCTAGGAAATCTGTAAAGCCATATACTACTGTGTTCATTAGCATGAACAATTTAAAATGAAAATGAATTAAAAAGTTAAACATGAGTTTGGTTTTAATTTTGGGGGGATCTTAAGATGTATTTCTGGGAGTAGGATAGCCACTTAAAATAATTTTGAATAGATGATAAAGTACTTTTTTATGTACTGTAATAGCTTGTGCATTTCTTCTGACTATACTTTCTGATGATGTTGCCAAGGTCATTTACCCAAATATTTTTTTAAAAATTCTTAACTCTTCAAAGCCAACAAAATAATTTTCTTCCAAGTGACAAATGATAATCTGTAGATTACAAGTCTTTTAAAACTTATTGTATGTCTTAACATAATTTTTTCACATTTTTTGGACTTTTCAATCAAGACATCAAAGACGACCTTGAAAGCAAGAGGAAATAGTGTCGTGTGCCTAAAATTGGTAAAGACTAGTTTTTACCCATTTTAAGAAGTGTATGTCCAAATTATTTATAAGCAGTATGGCTTAATATGGCTTCGAATTACTTATAAAGAATATGATTAAATCTCATCCTAAATATGTACCCACAATATCCTTTCTATAATGGGCACCATAAGAAATGTTTTCACTTAGTTTCTGAGTATTCCTTCATAGATTCTCAGGAGGCATTTAAAAAGTTGGAAGCTATATTTGGTAGTAGCTATATTAGAAAAGTCCAATTTACACTGATTTTTATTCACCCTCATTTTTATTTTTATCCAGTCATGCTACCTTTATCACCTTTTATTTTTTTTTTTTTTTTTTTTTTGGTGCAAAGCTGAATATTCTGCAAATTTTTTTTCCCCTTGAGTATGCATTGCATTTGTCATGAAAAATAAAAAGAATGTAATAAACACATCAGTCATAATGTAAATTATCTGTTTTGATCCACATTGGTTGGACACAGCATGGTTAATTCTACGCTTGGTTAAAGAAAATACATCATTTAGAAAGTATTCTAATATTTTAAGGACCTGCACTTTTTTTTTTTTAGTTGTTAAGACTTCTGGTTCACATTTGCAAACTAGCCACAGGGTGTTCATTAATATTTTCCCAAAATAGTTGAGTATTTTTAATTTTGAACAAAGAATTTTCTGCCCTACTACAGTGGCTTACTGCTAGGGTAAAGACTATTGTCTGAAGATACTGTACTTGGTGTTAACAGTGTTGATTGCTTAATGGATATGGACCACATGCCACTACCTGTAGCTTTGTCATCCTGGTGTTTTTGTTTGGTTGGGTTTGGTTTTTCATTTTTTGCTTTTAAAATTAAAAACAAAGCAAAACAAAATTGAAGATACCATTGAGAATCAGAAGTCAAGATGACTTAACTCTCACGAAGATCACTGCGCTTTTTGAAAATTGCTGTGAGATCTAGTCAGTTACATATTTAAAATCCCCATATGTTGATTAATTAAAGATAAGGTTTTCATTATTTTCCTAAGTAGGATTCTCATGGAGCTATTGTAGATAACTGTACAGAATCACTTTTGTGTAATTGAATGAAGCAGTTTCCTCTGCATGATTGCATAATGAAAGCCTTTTATATATCTTTATATTTTTCAATATACTTAGATTTTACACTATTAAGCTGCTCTAGTCATGCTATATTTGTTTTTTTAAAAATAGAGTTTATAAATATTTATGCTCAAAATACAGATCAACTGAATATTTTTGGTCTTGTTTACAAGATAAATCATACTTTAAAATGATACAGGCCCCTCAAGTGTCTTAGGAAAAAGTCATTGGTGCTATAAAACCTTTCAATATCATTTTTGAACCCATTGTTCAGACTCTGCTAGGTTTTAATCTGATTGCTTGTGATTTTTGATAATGTAGCAGCAGCATAATTATAAAAGTGGTCTCTGATGTGTGGATAAAGAGCTCAGCCCATTAGAAACACTTTGTAATTTAAGAATATGATGCAAAATGACCTTACATTTACTTGTGCCCAGCTTCCCAAAAAGAAAATTGTTTTGTTAAGAGGAAGGCAGTTAATTTGGCTAGAATCCAAAAACTCATTCAGCATGGCTGTTTTTCCCTTATTTCAAATGAAAAACTTTTCTAATACTAAAATACGTAATCCTGCTTTGCTTTAAATTCCCATATCCATCACTCAAGAGGAGGCATAGTGATTCTTAAATATTCATAGAACATTTGGTGAGTTGTAAAGAGATGTATTATTGCATTGTAGGTTTTTGCATTGATGTGTCGATTTTTTTGTTTTGTCCCCAAGATTTCCTTCCAGCACCTTAATGAATGTTCACATGATAGAATGTTTTAAGTATCAGCAAAGCATTCATGGATGCCTGCTTTTCATTCTCAGAAGGTTAAACCTGTTTTGGGTGTGATGCTACTTCAGAACATATTGTCTGGCACAAGATTTCTTCTAATAAGTGGTTTATTTTAACTCAATTTCTGTGGACTGTTGAATTGAAAAACACCAAAGGAGTCTTCTTGTTTGGAGACTGGATTGTTCCAGTTTTAAATACCTGTGCCCATAAGTATCCCATTTCATGAATGTGTGTTGGCATGGGGAAAAAATTTCCCTGCTCTTTGAGTGGAGCGAAAGCAATTGGTTAAGCTGTAGCAGCTTTTTTGTTTATTTTTTTAAAGTGATAATACAACTTGAACTGAAAAAAGATAAAACTTGAACTAGAAAACTACTCTTGTATGCTTAGAATGTTTATAGTATTAAATGTTTATGTGGGGTTGTCAACATTTTTATTATTTATAGTTGAATTATGTTTTGTTAAATCCATATTTATTATTTTTATATTTTGAAAATTTTTAAAATAAAAGTCTTACTAAAAACAGTTAATGTTTTAAAATTGTCCTACATCTTGCATCAGTTATATTAATTTATACTGGAAAAAAAACTGCATTCATTAGGCATTACATTATTGAGAATTCTGAGAATGTTTATACAAAGAAATGACTTCACATTTCCTCTTCCCCTCTTTACCCTCCATTTTAAGTTGTATTAAGTCAATTTTGGCACCAATATGTCACTGGCTTAATGTCTTCTCCTTTCACACATACACAAATCCTCATGACCCTTCCCCCTAGTTCCTGACTCCTTTACTGCTTGGAAGTTTTTCTCCTTATTCCGCTTGGCAGCCAAAAAATTCTCCTTATTGTAAGTGATAAGTGTAAAAATACTATTCTGATGTTAAAGAAGGAATACCGTAGTTCCTGAAGTGCAATTAGACACAAAGTGCTTATAATGTCAATTTGCAAAGCTGTTGAAAGTTTTCAGAACTACTGTAATTTCCACAGTTCATCTGGACCATTTTTCCCCCCATCCGATTTGGCCTGCTTTTCCATCATTCAGCATGTTCATTTCATATTATATAGTTTATTGAATGATGAATTATTTCGATTTTCATCACATATGTATTTTCTGTCATCTGTGACATGGTAACGTGACACTGCTGCTGCAAGAAAATACATTCTCATCTACAGATCACAAATTTGATAAAAGTCTAGTTAGAGATCTAGTGAAGTAGAGGACTTTGGTTAATAATGGTACAATTATTTTTAAAAGTTACATGTTTGTGTATATACACACAAACATGTAAGGCCAGCCCCCGTGGAGTAGTTGCAGATTAAGCATGTTGTCAGCCTTCACTTATCTGAAAATTATTTCTGCACAATGAATGAATTTGTCCTTTAATCTTCTTTTTAATCATGTAATATTGTGGAGAAGCTAAACATTTTTAAAAGTGTGGAGGTAATATGATAGCCTGTCATTTATAAATGATCTCCAGACATTTTAAAACTGGAATTAAATAATTTTTACTGCCTTGTAACCTTTTTTCCCTTATGATATTGATACTATTTTTAATGGTTCCTCCATTATTTGAAGATGAATCAATGTAATGAATCAGTTCTCATTTTGGGAACTTAACCTCTCCACTTTTTAGTATGAACAATGCTGTGAACATCATGCCTTTGATTATTCATGATATATTCTCAGAACTTCATGGTCAATATATATAGTTTTTAAAACTCGTGATACATTTTGCATTTTCTTTTACAAAGCAGATATGTATAAATACCTAAGCAATAATTTTGCTTTGTTAACAGCATAAGTTATTTTTTCTGAAATGTGTTAGAACTTACTGAATTCATTCCATATTCATAACAGAAACCAAATTATGCCTAATACAGTGGTTAAGCTCTGCTGTAGTAGTGACACTATTATGGATATTTTACACAATATATAATTGCCAGGATTTTGTATACCATAGCAGATTTTTTTTTTCTTGAAACTACAGATGTTTTATAAATTGTCAAGAAACTTTTGATAGTCTCATCATGAGTATCTATTGAAAGATATGGGAGATAATCTTTATTTTTATTAAATAAGGAAAAATAAATGCCAGAAGCAGGATTGGAATTTTCGTTTCTCATACTATATTTACTGTGAGAATTCACAGAACCGCCAAATAAAAATTCATAACAAAGACGTCCCCAATATTTTTAATCAACACTCCAAATGCCTTTTCTCCAGAAAAGCAATTTGTGTTTTCCCCCATGAACTTCATACTGATACAAATAAAGCATCAATTGGACTATGAAAAGAAAACTAGATAATGTTTTTCCTTTTTTTTTTTTTTTTTTTTTTGGTCATAAACAGAAAAGGCTTTTTTTTTTTTTTCTTTTGAGGCAGGGTGTTATTCTGTAGCCCAGGTTCGAGTGCAGTGGCTGATCTCGGCTTGCTGCAACCTTGACCTCCCTGGGCTTAGGCAACCCTGTCTCGGCTTCCCAAGTAGGTGGGACTATAGGCACGCACCAGCACACCTGTCTCATTTTTGTATTTCTTGTGGAGACGATTTGCCAGATTTCCCAGACTGGTCTGGAACTCCAGCTCACATAATCTGCCTGCCTCTGCTTCCCAAAGTGCTGGGATTACAGGTGTAAGCAGCAGCGTCCTGTTCATTTTTGAAACCATAATTCATTTCACTGGAAAGAAAATTTCCTGCAAACCATGAATATTTTCGTTAGCTATTCATATAGTGGTCGTGTTTTTATTCAAGTGGAAATGAGAACATTTTGTACACGTATGACATTACTTTGAATATTCAAGGGTTTGCAATACTATTGACAGTTTTCTTAAATTCTCAGTCTTTGTTTCACTTTATAAATCTAAGATGTGTGTTACTAAAGCAGTAGTACATTTTGTATTCGGAGCTCCGAATCATGAAACTGATTATCTAGTATGCAGTGTATTTATTTGGGGGATTTTGAATTTAGGACATAGGTTAATAAAAAGACCATTTCATACTTCTGATTTTTAAGAAGAAAAAGTACAAGTGACAACAAAGCCTTTGAAGTCTTTGACATTTTTTAACTTTTAATGTTAAAATGTTTTTTGTTTATCCCAGAGATATATAAACCAAATCTGTCTGGAAATACAGGTGAATATTCATAATGTCAAGGACATTTCAAACCAGTTTCTGAAGGTTATTATCTATGACTTCAGACTTGAAAAATTTCCTGTATTTTCAAATTGGAAATGTTAAGAAATACTTAAAAATTATATGTTTATAATGTTGGAGTTAGAAATTGTCAAAGTAGTTGAATAATGTTCCAATTTTACTTTTTTTATCAACTTAACAACAGAAATTAAGAAATGTTAGGAAGGAGACTGGCACTTAACAGTGGTTATGTCTGAGGTAATTTCAAAAAAATCAAAAAGGCAACTCTTGGCAAAAAATATTCTTGATTACTGATCTGATTATTAATCGTGAGCCCTCATTTATCATACTAAAATGAAGACTACATATATTAAAAATCGTATAGAATCCTAAACAACCATTTTGGTTAATGGAAAGAAGAAGGGGCTTTTTTGCTTTGTCAAGATCTCCAGTGAAGCAGAGAGAATCCTTAATTTGGGATGCTTACAAAATAGAGCCATCTAAGGTATCATAGACGGGAAGAGGAAAATGGGTGACAAATTTAATCCTGCATTTGTGAAAGTTCTGTTTTAGGTTATAAGCTGCCTGGAAGCAAGTAGTCCAGTTTGGCTGCTTCTCCAACTGATAAGGTTTATTGATCATCAAGTGACATTAAAACTTCATAGAAAAGGGTGCATCCAAGAGCACATCTGTTCAAGGTCTCTCGTGTTCCTCCTGGGGGAGCCCTCAAAATAGAGGTAATGATCAGCAACCTGAGTGGGTATTAAGGTACTCCTTTTCTTCTTTCCTGCCGGAAAAGCAGCACAATTTATGTTATCACATGAGGGCATAACCATACCCTGCGACCTAATGTCAAGGTTCAACATTCCAAGATTTTTTCTATGCTATGTTTACATAACTTACCTGTGACCACTCTTGGCCAATTGTACCTGGCAATTTTGCCAGTGTGTGTACAAAGGGCCTTCCTGTGTGGAGATGTAACTGTGGTCGACCACAGCATGCCTCCAGATTTTATGGCCCTAAGAAGGGTTGGGGGAGGGAAGGAAAGGTTCCTACCTAAGATTTTACCAGAGTCTCTGGTCTTGTATTGGGATTCTATGTCAGGTTTCATTTGATGTAAAGGATCCATCGTTTTTAAAATACTGAAAACCAATGTTCTCTACCACATTTGAATCCCCAAATTTTGGTATGTTGTACTCTGTCTCCAATATAGCCCTCATCAAACTCTCATCCCACCTTTGTGTTTGTTTGTTTGTTTGTTTGTTTAAGACGGAGCCTCACTCTGTCGCCCAGGCTGGAGTGCAGTGGCGTCATCTCAGCTCACTGCAAGCTCCGCCTCCCGGGTTCACGCCATTCTCCTGCCTCAGCCTCCCCAGTAGCTGGAACTACAGGCCCCCGCCACCGTGCCCGGCTAATTTTTTTGTATTTTTAGTAGAGACGGGGTTTCACGGTGTTAGCCAGGATGATCTCGATCTCCTGACCTCGTGATCCGCCCGCCTCGGCCTCCCAAAGTGCTGGGATTACAGACGTGAGCCACTGCGCCCGGCCCCCCACCTTTGTTTTTTAAAAGTGTGAAGGACGTATAACCATTAGGGAAGATGAGTTTATAATTTTAAATCTCCCCCTAAAAAGAAATTCCAATCCAATACAGTAATTATCTGTTAACACTGGTTAATCATAAGCACATAAGGGCCTAATATTCAATCAGTTGATCAATCAATCCATGCTCAAAAAAAAAAAAAAAAAAAAAAAAGTTGACCTGGTCCTGCCTTAGGATTGTAGGCTACCAAGGCAGACAATGTAAGCACAGATGAAATAGTAATAGGCTTAGCCATATTCACTCTATACAATAAGGTAGTGGTTCCCACACTGCAAAGTATAATCACCCGGGGAGATTTTTTAAATCCCCACGCCTGGGTCATGCTACATGCTAATAACATCAGAGTGTCTGGGGATGGAAGAATTACTGGAGAATTCTACCAAATATTTAAAGAAGAATTAACACTAATTCTATACAATCTCTTTCAGAAAATAGAAAAGGAGAGAATACTTCATTTTGTAAAGCTGGAATTATTCTGTTACCAAAACCAGAGACAGTACAACTGAGAAAACTACAGGCCAATATCCTTATGAATATAGATGTGAAAATCCTTAGCAGAATGTTAGCAAGTAGAATTTAGCAATACCTTTTAAAGACCAAATGAGGGTTATTCCAGAGATAGAAATCTGGTTTAATATTTTAGAATTGACTACTGTATTATCAGGCTGAATAAAAGTAAATCACATGATTGTATCAATCAGAGAAGAAGCACTTGACAAAATTCAGTGTTTGTGATACAGAAATGATAAAACTTAGGAAATTAGAAATTAGAGGGTAACTACTTCATCTTGAT